ATGACTCCTTTCCCAAGCCAGGCTTAGAACCTTACCTGAATATTGGCAAGAGTAGTTATTTGTCTTCCAATGAGGAACAGGTGGCCATTTTGCTTTACACTAATTGCATCGTTGCACCCGTTTATTCTAGTAGATTCACCATTGTATTGTTTATTATCAAGAGGTTGCATTCTGGCACAGGAAACAGACATTGAGCAACTGCAGAAAAGGGACTACTTAAAACTTAAAGTGAGCATAATCCTTATGCACTTCCTGTATTGATATTTGAAAGTAACAAGGTAGTAAATTTGGCACCATAACTCTTGAAGTTTGCAGGATGCCAGTCTGTTGCGATTTTTAGTTGATATGAGAGGTGCAGATGTTGATGATTGTCAGGTAGAGTAAAAGTTACTTGTGGTGTTTTCTTCATCTGCTGATGGAACTTCTGTATCCAAAACAACCGCTTTACCTATTGTACTACTTCAGTGAGGAAATTTTCTTCTTCCAATTTGCACATGAACATGTGGGTATGTTTGGCCAAGTTATGCTGTATGGAGAAATGAATTTACATAGGTGATTGTTCAAATCATTTCACGAGTTAGAAAAGCATTTACATTACTTGAATCTGGCTGTTCTTAGCAGAATTTATGCAATTGCTTGCTAATTTGACATTGTAATCTCTGGCAATTATATCTCAACCTCCAAGTATGCTAGCTACCTTAACTATCCACACTTTAATACCTTTCTCATTTAGATTGCTTATGTATGCTTTTGCATCTGCACTATTATATGTTGGAGTTTATAATCTGCTGCTGTTCCATTTTGCAGCTTAGAGATGATCTGATGACAATGCTTATTGCTGGCCATGAAACTACAGCTGCTGTGCTTACTTGGGCTGTTTTCCTTCTTGCACAAGTAGGTTTTATCTTAGTGACATTCAAAACTCTTTGAGAATGTCTCTAGAAAGTGGATTTAGATTGGTTTTCTTCAATGTTTCCTCGTTCTTCAGCAACAGATTTCTCAACTTGTATTACATATGGTGTATGGTAAATTGCTGTTTTGCAGCATCCCAGCAAAATGAAGAAAGCACAGGCTGAGATTGATTCAGTGCTAGGCCAAAGGAGGATAACCATAGAATCAATTAAAAAACTAGAGTATGTGGTAGTGCTCCATGAAACTCCTATTGCCATAGTAAAATCTCTTTCCGGAGTTCTTTTACTACTATGCTATGCTGCTCATTAAATTATTTGTGTAGTTATTTCCAACATACATGAGTATACCCAAAGTGGATTTCATGACCGTGATATAATATATCACAACATCTAATACACTGGAAGAATGAATGTGAAAGTTTTGCATCTCCTCTTGATTATAACATAACACATGTAGACACAGAAATTTGATCTTCTGTAGCTTGTTTTCTGCGACTTCAAATAAATTTGAATGTGAGATGATGCATACAGTAAACCTACTATATGAATATATTCCTCATTGCTATCTGTTTCTGCAAGAGAAATTAATTGAGATGGGTCTGAAAACCTAATGCTTGCTTTGTTTTTGGTATATAAGAGGTTCCTGACCATAGAGAAGAAGTTCAGTTGAGAATTCATTCTTGATTCCTTTTTAGTTCAATAACTTCATGTAAAAAGTTCACAAATTTTGTGATGCATTTGACAACTGTTTTGGTAATCTGGCAAGAGATATAGAAGTATATCAGAATGGGCAGTTAAATTGGCAATCTGGGTGAAACTGACATTCAGTTTAGTTCTTGATGTAACACCAAAATGAAGAGATCCACATTGCACGCAGCAAAGAGCCCCCTAACATACCAAAATACTCATACTGTGGATTGAAATTTGACCTAAATCAATTTTTTGTTGCTTAAAAAGTTTTAAGAGGTTAATTTCATGGACCTGCTTGAGGTATATGTTTCTTCTGTGGCAACCTAAGAGCCCAGCTTCATGGTTTAGAGAATCACTAATGGAATAAACTTTGGCCTGTTTGGATGGGTTGCTTTTTTCAAAAAAAATAAGACCTGATTTTAGAAAACTTTTAACGTGTAGTCCATTTTCCTTTTTATCTCACATGTTCTCTTTCCAATAAAGTAGCTACAGCAAATGTTCTTGAGAAACACCCCAAAAAAGTGTAAATAGGTTAATTATAACACTTTTGTCAAGTACATATTTGAAGGATGGTACGTTGTATTTATCCAATTGCATAAAGTAGTAGTTCATTTCATTTTACTATATTGCCTTATCTTGCTACTTTTAAATGTAGACTAAAAGAGTCAAAATATTAACTTTGATCTTAAATATCATAAAGCCTTTATACTTTTTGCATTCTAAATGGCTGTGTGCCATCTGGATGCTGTCAGGTACATACGACTTGTTGTTGTAGAGACGCTACGCTTATATCCGCAGCCTCCACTCCTTATTAGGCGTTCTCTGAAATCAGACAAGTTGCCTGGTATGGTCCTATAGTAAGTTGAACAGATCATGCCAACTTCATAACAGGAAAACAAATTTTTGTTGAAGGTCTGATTTGGATTCGAGGGGCAACTAAGCTTTGCATTTAATTCCTCTTAGCAACATAGTCTTGAGGAGCTCATAGTACTTGAAGTTTGTAGCGTCACCTACCTGTATTTGCATGCATCCACCATCCAAACTGAGTCTCAAACTGACAGCTAATGACATATCTAATACTCAAAGCTCTAAGTTTTGGGAGTGACATATCATCTCGCATCAAGCTACATATGTGGTGCTTGATATCTAAAGAGTACAAGTGTTTAGAATTTTCCTTAGAAAAGATGTTTCAGACACTCTTGAACATTTTACTTCTTGCGTTGTTTCTTTTTCAGCTCTCTACTGGGATGCAATAAGTTCTCTTCTGCTCAACTCATCAACCCCTCCACACACACACAACCCCCTCCTCCGCACCTCCACCCCAACCCCCCCCCCCCCCCAAAAAAAAGATACATATATATATTCTGCTGCCCCCCTTTTCTGTGCGGGGTTTTGTTTACAGAAATGGAGAATGAGCTTATGCAGTAGTGCCAAAAATTAGACGCAATGAGGTCATGATACCTTGAAAATCTTTTAATGAACAACTAAGTTTAGCATCTTCTCGTATTTTTGCAACCATGAAAACAACTTGTTTTTGGAATTACATCTGCTGTTCAATTTGTTTCTCATTAGCAATGCCATAATTTCAGCTACTTCTAAGTCCATTGCTTCACATCTGCAGGAGGTCATAAAGGTGACAATAATGGATATGCAATACCTGCTGGCACTGATATTTTCTTATCTGTGAGCCTTTATTTTCCTTTTTGTTGGGGAATATATCTACTATGTTGCATATAAAAAGATGAAAGTGCATATGATAGCTTTGATACTCACAACTAGTGATAGAAAATTAGACTTGAAAACTGTTAGCAACGATCATGTGTAGCAGAATGAATTTTTGGGCAGCTATTTAGGATTTCCTATTAAATTAACTGCATCTGGCAGGTATACAATGTTCATAGATCTCCATACTTATGGGATAATCCCAATGACTTTGAACCTGAACGCTTTCTAGTAAAAAGAGTGAGCCAAGGCATTGAAGGATGGGCTGGTTTTGATCCATCCAGAAGTCCTGGAGCTTTATATCCAAATGAGGTTATTTAATAGTGGTTCTTTATTTTATTTTATTTTTTTTATTCCGAGGACTATAGTGTGTAAACTCTTAGAAATTTGCCAATATGGCCGTTATTGCTGTTATCAGATTATGTCAGATTTTGCATTCCTGCCCTTCGGAGGGGGCCCAAGAAAGTGTGTTGGAGACCAATTTGCATTCATGGAGTCAACAATAGCATTGGCTATGTTGCTGCAAGAGTTTGATATAGAACTGAAAGGATCTCCAGAGTCTGTGGAAATCGTCACAGGAGCAACGATTCACACGAAAAATGGTTTGTGGTGCAGATTGATGAAGAGGCAAGATATTCAGAGTCTGTAGCTATGGTACATAGTTCTGCTGGAGGTTTGTTGGTTCACTTCTAAGTTCTAACCATCCCCTTGTTTTTGTTCATTTCTGGTTTCCTAAATACTGGTCTGAAACCCTCCATGCTCGGGACATTTCTGCTGAAGCATAAATGTGTTGTACTTTCTTCCTGGGCTAAGGTTGCACCAGGTGAACATAGTGGAGAACTGTCTCAAGCTCAAGAACTTAGATACCGTACTTAAGAAGCTACTAATAATGTAGGACTAAAGGGGGAAGGCTGAGAGTACCAAAGACTAACCAGCTTATATGATTGAAGATGAGGCTGCATTGCTGAATGGAGATTATAGTGAGGAGCAAACAAAAACTGTTAAATTCGGAATGACAGATCACGAGGCTCCAAGTTGAGGATATACAGGAGAAACCTATAACATGTAGGTGGGAGATTGGGTGTAATATCGCGTACAAGATGTATCTTAAAATGATGAAAAAGGACTAAAAAAAATGTTGCCTGGCCTAAGCAGTCTGCGAAAAAAAAAAAAAACTTTTAAGCAGGGTAGCTTCCAGGCAGTGCATATTTATGATGCGGGATTTTGTCATATCCCTTAAACCTGGATTATTTGTGAATTAACAGCACGTTTTACAGCTATGCAAGTGCTCCTACGAGTTTGTTTTGCTGGTTGCCCTGCAATAAAATTGTGGCTATGGTCTAGTTGTGTAGGACAACTAGACCATGTTTAACCTATCAAACCTTAAAATTGCAAAACACGAATTCCTACTGGTATAGTCGTATGAGAATTGTTAAACATCTAGTAAGTAAAACGAAAACAAATTCACGGAGAAAACACTTGTCAAGCAGATAGTTTGCAGATTTTACCTACCCCGGTACAGCAACAAAGAAATGCTCAATGGATGAACATCTCATTATTCATGCTACAGCCAAAACCAGCCCTTAGCATGCCATGTCCTGCAAGGTACGGTGGATGTTGGTGCTCAGAAACCAAGCTGCCCCAGAAACTGCCAATCTCAATATGAGTTAAAGCAATTTATGATACATTTTGTGACACAAAACCACAAAGATCCATATTTCTCAACTCAGTACTCTGCTGAGAAGCATAATGACCAACTTGTGTCAAAATTGAATTGAAATGTTCCTAAAACAGAAAAGAAAAGCGTTTAGTTAGCAACAATGTTACTATTGTTCCTTGAGTTAGTCGAGATGATAGAGTTGGCGTCATGTTTTTCTGTCAATTCGGATTCGAACCTTTTATGGGACATCTGCTTGTCGCGTGGGACCTGTCTAGTGCATCTTACTCCTCCGTGTGGTTGGCAAGCTATTGCACAGGGTGAGATTTATCCATTGCACACTCTCGAATAGCGGCTACGGTTTTCTTATATATATATATATATATATATATATATATATATAAAAGACTATTACAACTGAAAGACAGGAAGGTCTTGCATGCTTTTTACACCCCTTTAAGAAATAAGATATTTGTAATATGTATTCTTTTGACGCATCCAGCATTTTGAGTTTTTCTGCTGCTACTGGAGCCAAATTGAAAACACACATCAACTTAAAATAAAGCCCGATATTCAAGAGTAAACTTATTGGAATTAGGCTCCCACCAATATGTTTTCACCAACAGCTTTTAGCCAAGTGCGCATCAACCAAGCAAAAGAAAAGACAAAGAAGATCATCTCCAATCAGTGCACCGCCAAGCAAAATGTGCTGGGAATGATGATTCACCCCAACCACAGGTAGGAAGGGAAGTGTGTATCCTTTTCCTAAGTAGCTGGTATCGAAGAAAACTACGTCAAAGAAATGTTCATAATCATTTCTACCCTTGGGATCGATCCAGACAACATTCTGCATACGTTTTTCCTTCTTGTTACCAAGATCCACGGCATAGTACATATTTTGAAATTCAGATTGCACAAGGGACAAAGTGATCTGGCAAGAAGTTTACATCCTCCTTGTAGTTAATGCCAAATGCAGTCCTTTCTTTCGACATTGATCGATAATTGAACTTGAGAGCTGCTGCTTGTGTTTTCCTCCCTGGAGGGCAATGTAGAAGTCGTCAGGACAAATATCATGATTGTGCTCCTTAGCAATGCTATATATATACCATTTGCCGTCGGGACTTCTCTTCATATGCATACCGGCCTTGCAGTTAGTCTTAGCGGTGCTATTGTTAGCAGTAGCAGTAGTACGAGGGCTTCGCTTGGTCTCGAATCTAGAACATGCAATTTTGACGTCAATGAACTTGTCAGATTTCTTGGAGCGGCGACTGGCTTTGATGGTAATCCCAAAGCCCACAGAGCGAGCATATTCCTGGTTGAATGAGTAGGCAGCCTCTTTGCTGTCAAATTCTTGACCTTTTTGAGGCTCAAAATCACGTAGCACAAGGCAGTTACACCATTTCATCATACTTTGTGTCCCCCTCATCCCCATTTCTCCTCCTCTTTCGAGGACTCAAAATGATTTTCAATCGTGTTATTGTGATTGTCTACTACTCTTATTCCAGCTCCTCCTCCATTCAATCCTAAGTCATCACTGTCATGGAGCGAAGAGGGCATTTCAAGATTAATCTCCATTTTCCAGTATTCAGTAGTACTACTACAATATTTAAGTACAGTGGTAAAGTTAATCTGTTGCAAAATCACCTAGCAAAAACAAACAATCTTACGTACAATAAACTCCAAAAGTAATCATCCATTGGGGTGGGGCTAATATGCTATCCTTCTTGCTTACCTAATTCTATTCGACAACCTCTGCCTCATGCCTGGGTCCTGTTCGGTTCGAATTCAAAGCTCATTATCGATTAAGCATCCCAATCTTCTTCTCTCTTGAGTTGAAGAGAAAGGGAAGCCTTGGAGAAATATATGTCTGTGTAAAATACCAATATTTCTTGTGATTTGGAGAATATTCAATTTAATTCCCTATAGTTTTAACTAAAGTGTAACTTAGATAGAAACCATCTAAACTAACCATGCTTGAGAGTCACGCATTTCTGGTGTATCTTTAGTTTGCAATTAACAATATTTAAAAGAAAAAGATGACATTAGCTACCTATTTTACCCTGTGATAAATGAATATCAACCCATTTGCTATTTAGGGTTTCAATGCCCATTCTCGCTTTTCTTTCGATGCAAAATGGTAGAGGTCAATTAGGAGAGAAATTGGAGTTATCCGTGCCTCACATAGGCAGCAATTGAATTGGGAAAAGAGGTAAGCACTGGAAATTGATTCTGCCATGTCTTCATGGACATCTTCTTCAAGCTATCAAAGCGGTGGTAGTAGTAGGGATTTCAAAAATTGACAGGTTGTCGAGTCTATGCAATAATAATCACTTACTCAAGAAAGATACAAATTTTGAATATAGCGGTGAGTAGGGTCGAATTCACAGGGACTGGAGATTATTCGTTTCTTCTAGAATCTGAAGTATCGGGGGGGAAGGGGGTTTGGAGAATATAAAATAACTAATTAATCAACTAATGAAACAACTAATAGAAGTAAATAGGAATTAATCAATAACCAATATGACTCTAGCCAAAGGTGCAACTTTTCGGACACCGTCCATTCAAATGATCATCGATGCAAAGATATTTCATTCATGCGTCACTAGGTTGGTTATAGCCATCAACAAGCTCTGACAGCCAATTCTTCCTTACTTTTCGACAGTCAAGGTACGACCGTTGACTGCTTCTCTAACCAGAAAATAACCTTAGGTACGATCGTAGAAATTTAATTACCCAGTTGCATTAAAGCTAGAAGAACCCCAACCCTATCCAATATACACGCTATGAGTATTTATTTAAACTAGATCTTACGTTTCTCCAACACAAAGCCAATTATGGTGGTAGTCACTAGTTGTCAACTAAACGAACAATTACGGATTCTTTAATTAACGTGACAGTAGGCTATTAGATTAAATTAAATATCCGACCGTTGATACTCAATTAATAAAATACCCATGAACAATTAATCCAGGAAACGCACGAATAGTAATGAATTGGAAGAAATAATGAAAATTCGATTAGATCTCACAGATATTATGGACCGCACCTTCGCGTCGACCTTTGGGTAGAGGAGAAAATTAGCCGCTCCTTATCGTATCAATCTCGCATGGTTTGATTGATTCCATCCACACAATTGCCAAAGAATTTGAGAAAGATGAAGTAACGCAGAAAGCAAAAGAAAAAGTCTTTAAGCCCCTTCTCTTGTTTCGTGTCTGTCCGGAGAAGAAAAGGAATAAAACAAAAGTCTTACGAAATTCGTACAAAAGCAAAAGCAGAAACGTCCATCGTTCTCTCCGAAGAAATACAGCTCATCTAATCTATCACACGTGATTCTGGCTTTGTTTCTATTGGTCGCCGAAAAGAAAGGAAACATCTCTAGAACAAAAGCAAAAGCTCATCTCTTGATTACACGTGATTCTGGCTTTTTAGCCAATTCCCTCACAATAGCCGCCGAAAAGAAAGGTAAGCTTCAAAGTCCTTAAAGCATTGTAGGATTAGAGTTTTTATCCTCTACACCTCTGCGGCCCACGAGCCTTTTGATTTCCCAATTGCCCACTTTTGCTACCAATCCAGCGGGGTCCGTCTTTTAGGTGTCTCTCTTCAGTTTCTGGCGTGGGCACGTCATGAAATAAAGAGTCTTTTGAAAATTTGCCGCAGGAGAGTACTTTTGACACCAACCTCCTACAATTCACACAAATATCAAATATGAGCAAAAACTCAATACTTAGCACAGTAAGTAGCCAAAATTAGGACAAAATAGCAGTGCAAAATGTGCCCAATAATTGCTCTATCAGTGGTAGCAGTAGGGATTTGAGATATCAATATAGGTTGTGTAATTATGGGAGGAAGGCTAGGTGAAAATTGTCGATTCAAAGAATCAAACAAAGGCATGCTGCATTTTGTTTGTGAAAAGGATAAATGTGGATTTTGGTATTGGTGTAACCCAACTAGTCGAGAGCAGCCACTACAGGAAATTGGTTTTTGGAACTATGGGCACCTCGGTCTGCCCGGGCTCTATTAGCTCATTCATTCCCTATTGACAACAGACACTTCCCCAGACGAGGTGACCCACAAGGTTACATTGAAAAGGCGTTCTATCTCATCTACCTCTTTATTCAAGACTACCAACACCTCAGTTATTTGTGTAACTTGTGACTGATAGAGTGATTTGACTACCAGCCACCCTACCGGTCAGACCTACACCTAACACCATCGCCCTAAGTTGCTTCATAATGTCAGGCAGGAGGTAAACCTCATCATTCCATTAATAGGTACAAGTACTATGAATACTCATCTAATACTCCCCAATGAGGGACGCAATTTAATCTACATATTCAACTCCCGAACTATAACTGACTTAAGCATCGGAGTAAGATTGGGGGACAAAACCCTGTCTACTCTTTGTATGGCTGGTGAGCTCATGCGTTCATGACTTGGTTCGTTCGACCATAATTTACCTCGTTAATTGGCGCCGTCTATGGGAATCGGTAGTTCCATTAACATGATACCTACGCGGTCAAAAAGTTAAAGAACTCCTCGAGCTGAACTCGAGACTGATACTGATGCCCAACATGATGTCACTCAGCATATGGAGGAGCCCAAACAAGATCCTCAACCTATGAATGAAGAGACCCTCACTAAGATTGTTGAGTTCGTGGCAGAGAATCCTAGCATATTCAAAGATTTGGGAAGATTTTTCAAGAGGAAGGGGAAGGAAAAAGTCGAGTCATCAAAACGACGGCTGGTTACTTCCCTAAAGATCCCTTCTGAAGAAGAATCAGATGACCACTATCCGAAGCGAAGTTACTCCAAGCGAACTCCCTCCAAGTTTACTTCCAAGCTGGCCTCCCTATTTAGAGCCCTTTCTCAAGACCTACTCGGAAGGCGAACAAATGATTCACCTAAGCGTCTTGTAAAATTCTTCACTGATTACACGAAGGCACCTCCTTTCACCGATGACATAAATGATGACCTGGTTCCCTCCAACTTTAAGCTTCGGGCTCTCTAGCCCTACAATGGACAAGGTGATCCTAAGGATCACATCCACGTATTCATCTTGGTCTTCCTCCTGTATTGTGTGTCCGATTCAATCATTTGTCCAGTTTTTTTAGTCATCCTTCAAGGGACTGCTCGAAAATGGTTATGGAATTTGGAACCTAAGAATATATCATTTCTGGAAGAATTGGTGAATAAGTTCATATACAGGTTTGTTTCATCCCGTTCGATGACCAAGACAGCCCCCAGTGAATCCTTGCTCTCTTACCTTCAAAGATTTCACGATGAAAGTATTCAAATTTCTGACCCAAATAAACAGGTAACTATTGCGACTTTCACCAATGGATTGGTGGCCGGGACTTTAAACATTGACGTGCACAAGGAATACTCCTGGATGTTATGCGAGCTTTGACAAAAAATCAACGAGGACATCCAGGGGAAAGATGTCAATCGAATGAAGAGGAAAGTCCAAGCATCTCGGACAACACCTGATCGGCGGAGGACAGACCAAGGTAGGATCGAGGTAGGGACCTCGGGTACCATCGAATAGAACTCTTCCTGAGACCGGTGTAATGTGTTTGATCAGATAGCGAAAGGAAAGTAGCCTATTCTCGAAGCTGAGTTAACATCCCTCACTACAATTCGGTTGCACATACTTGCTGTCATAGAGTAGTACAACCTTGATCGAGCTCCACCCAAGATGATCGAGAAAAGGGAGAAAAGGAACATCAATCTTTTTTATGCATACCACCAAGACATTGATCAGGAGACCGAAAATTGCAATGACCTCAAAAAAGAAATATAAAATGTCATCAAACAAGGGTACTTGAAACAGTGCATCTGGAGCGATTGAGATTCAAATCGCCAAGAGGAGCGCTTAGATAATACAAACGAAGACAG